ATTTTTGGTTTTTAACTTAAATTGGATTCTCCTTTGATTGGCTTTTCCTTTAGTGTAGTTCCTCCCTTTGCTGATTTTCGTTTCCTCTTCATGGAATATGTTGCTGAGAATATTCTGTAATGCCAGCTTTCTTGTTGAAAATTCTTTTAATTTTTGTTTATTTCAAAGGTTTTTTTTTTTTTTTTTGATCATCAGATCTGGACATATGATTCTTGGTTGGCTTCCATTTTCTTTCAGAGCTTGGTATATGTTTTTCCAGGATTTCCTAGCTATGATGGTCTGGGTTGAGAAATCTGAGATCCAGATTGGTTTTCCCGTATATGTAATCTGAAACTTTTTTATTGCGGCCTTGAAAATTCTATCCTTACTATGTATGGTATGCATTTTCATTATAACGTGCCTTGGTGTGGATGTGTTGTAATTTTGTACATTTGGTGTCTTGTAAGCCTCTTACATTTGATTTTCATGTTTGGAAATTTTCTGATATTATTTCGTTGAAGAGAATGTGCATTCTCTTGGTTTGTATCTCTGTGCCTTCCTCTATCATGATAATTATTAGATTTGATCTTTTCATGTTGTCCCTTAATTCTTGGAGATTCTGTTAGTTGTTTCTCACTATCTTCACTGTGTGGTCAAATTTATTTATAAAATTATATTTTTTGTCTTCAGTACCTTAGATTCTGTCTTCTAAGCAATCTACTTTGTTCTTGATAATTTTTATTGAAATTTTTATTTGGTTTCTTGTTTACTTTATTTCAAGGTTTTCTGTTTCCTTTTTTTTTTCTTCAGAGTTTCTTTCTTGAAGTAATATTTTGCTACTTTTTTTTTTTTTCTCTCATGTCTTTGTTGGGTTGGCCAGTTGTTGCCTATATTAGCTTTCTTTTTTTTTTTTTAAAAAAGTGTTTTTTTTTTTTTTTTTTTTTAAAGGGGGGGGGGGGAGAGAGAGAGAGAGAGAGAGAGAGAGAGAGAGAGAGAGAGAGAGAGAATTTTTTAATATTTATTTTTTAGTTTTCGGCGGACACAACATCCTTGTTTGTATGTGGTGCTGAGGATCAAACCCAGACCGCACGCATGCCAGGCGAGTGCACTACCTCTTGAGCCACATCCCCAGCCCTTATATTAGCTTTCTTAATTAATGCTTTGCTTTGTTTTAATTATGTACATTCTGAATTCCTTCTCTGACATTTTATCTACTGGGCTGTCAATGGAATCTCTTATCAGTCAATGGAATCTATTATCAGTTTGGTTTTTTTCTGGCACTTTCTTCACCTGTTTCTTCATGTTGTCCGTGTGTCTTCCTTTCTAGTAGTATTGATTCAAGGTTTTACAGTTTCTACCTTATAATCTTGTAGTGTTTCTGCAAGTTACCACTACCTTGCTTTTAGGAACCTGGATGATGGACTTGTACGTCCTGGCTCTTGTCACTAGATAGAAGCCAGTGGGAAAGGCCACCCCACACATTGACTGTGTTCCTACTGTGTGGTGGGTCAGGGTTGTGGTCATCTTCTGCCCCTCTTTTTCCACAACCCATGCTCTGTTTTGACAGGCTCACTGTCTTCCTTCACTTATATCTCTGCCCATTGCCAACTTCAAGCATACTTTAAAAAAATTTTTTTTAAATTTTTATTTGTTGATGGACATTATTTATTCATATGTGGTGTTGAGAAGCAAATCCAGTGTCTCACACTTGATAGGCAAGCTCTCTGTCACTGAGCTATAACCTTAGCCCCTCAAGCACACTTTCAGTCTATTTTTCTAGGATTCACCATAACAAACTCCTGTGTTCAACCTGCCTAGTTGTTATTATGTCGTAATCATTCGTATTCCCATTGGAAAACGTGTTTTCTTTTTGACATTCCATTTTACCTCCTCATGTGTAAAACCTTATTGATTCTTTTGACCTTGGACAAATGTCACCAGTTGAATAAAACTTTCCTTGGTTTCCCTTTATCCTTTGACTGAGTTAGTATTTCTCTTCTCTTTGTTTTCATATTTATAATCTAATTGGTTACGCATTTTGCAGGTAGCTCACTGACTGTTTTTTCTACGATAATTGTTTGCATTATTGTCTGTTCTTCTCAGAATTCTGACTTTCTTGGAGTGGAGACCATCTCTTAATTCATCTTTGCCCTTCTGGTACTTATTGTGGGGTGTGTGTGCTATATAAATATTTGGTTTCATCTTCCTACAAAATTATTAGATACAAAACTGACATATTTACACCTTGCTTCTTTTGACATACAATTTTTGTTAATTATAAACTATATATTTCCTTATTTTTAACAAAAATTGGACAGAAGCTACACTGATAATTATAAACCATATATTTGCTTATTTTATCAGTATAGCGTCTATCCCCAGCTCCCTTAGTGATAAGTGACTTTGTTATTTTCTTAAATATAAACAAATGATTAAAGTAAGTAATACTTCTCTTATTTCACAGGTGAAATTCAAATCTCTTTTTCACTTCCTTGCTGCAGATAAGAATCAGTCAATTTAAGGGTTGAAATGTTATTCATATACAATAAAATTAACACTTCTAAATTATGTGATTTAGTTTTCTCTAGTACATTTACAAGGAGTATGAAACCTTTCTTATTTCCAAAACATTTTTATTACTCATAAAAGAAATCCCTACCCATTAGGAGCTATCCACATTTATTCTTTTTCCTACTTCCTGGCAACTATTAATTTATTGTCTGAATCTGGATTTCTCTATACTGGACATTTGTTATATATATAAAATCATGCAGTATGTGACCTTTTGTTTTTAGTTTCTTTCATTAATATGTTTTCAGGGTTCATCTATGCTGCAGTAGGCATCACTACTTCAACACTGTCCCTCTCCCACTTTTAATTTTTTTATTTATTTTTCAGTCCTGGGAATCAAAACCAGGGACTTGAGTGCTCTCTTCCACGAGCCACATTGTTAGTCCTATTTATTCCTTTTTATGACTGCATAAATTCTGTTATATGAATGTACATTTTGTTATTCATTCAACTGATTGTGTACATTTGATTTGTTTTCTTTTACCATTTGACCAATGTGAATAATACTGCTATTGCTTTTATGGTTTTTTTTCTTATATGAATACAAGAAATTGCTAAGTATTATGGTAACTCATTGCCAAAATTTGAGGAACTGCCTACCTTTTCTTCAAAGCAGGTGCTCTGTGTTACCTTTCCATTCACTATCTGTGATTATTTTACATCCTCACCAGCACTTATTATCTTTCCCATGGAGGTGAAATGTGTATTCAGATCTTCATCTTTTAGCTTTTGATATACTTATTTTAGGTCTAACCTATATAATACTCCTAAAATTTTCTTTTTTCTCCATTTGTCTTGGGTTTAAAATTTGTTTTTCTTTTGTTTTTCTTTTTAAAATGCAGTGCTGTCAGTGGGAGGAAGTATGGTGGTATTCCAGGTAATGGGAAATTCCTTCTTATGAGTCCTTGAAGACCCAATTCTATTGTAGAGTTCTTGGCCATGTACTTGCATTCTTTTACTGTCCTATTACTTACGTCTTGTGATGTTTATTTATTAGTCCAGTTGGCAAAAATTGCAGTAGTGGAGAATAGGAAAAGCACCTCTGAGGATCCATCCAGGTTATTCCTAGGTTGTCTTAAGCAGTCCCTCTTGCCTGCTTGTCCTACCTGGCTAATTGCCTATGCTCCTGGGTCCTTTTTCCTTGACCTTCATTTTTCTCTTTGTTCCTTGAAATAAAATAAATCAAATTGATAGGCATTTTGCATAATTTTCCATGCTCAGTTAATATCCTCATTCTTGTTCTCCTTTTATTACTGAAAAATCTGGCTTAAAGATTTTAAGCACATGGCTTTTCAGTAGTGTTCTTTTTTTTAAATATTTTTTTAAACTAGGTACTATGGCGCATTCCTATAATCCCATCTGCTCAGGAAGCTGAGGCAGGAGGATGGCAAGTTCAAAGCAAGCCTCAGTAACTCAGTGAGACCCTATCTCTAAATAATTTTTAAAAGGGCTGTGGATGTGGCTCAGTAGTTATGTACCCCTGGGTTCAATCCTCAGTTCCAACAACAACAACAGCATAAATCTTTTTACTTCAGTATGGTAGAGTGGCTCTGTTTTTTCTGAAATGTTTGTGTTGGGAGAGAATCTGAGCCATGTAAGTTAAAGCATTTAAATGAAGTTCCATATTGGAATTTTGATTTTATCCATAACAAACAGGAGGACATTGAAATTTCATTCTTCTATATGGCTGAGTAAAACTCCATTTTGGCTAGGAGGTAAGGTATGAGAATTGCAAATTCAAGGTCAGCCTTGGCAACTTAGTGAGAACCTGACTCAAAAGTATAAATTAAAAGCGTTGGTGTTATAGCCTGATGGGAAAGCACCCCCAAGTTGTTTAATCCCTAATTTCGTTAAGTTTGTATGTTCCTTTTAGCACCTTTTTTTAAAGCATATTTCCATTCTAGGTGAACAAACTGTTGCCCTGTCTTCAAGGACTTAAGCCTTAACAGACTAAAATAAGTATTCTAACATGAAAAATATGCCCTAAAAGAGCAAAGCACAGAGCTCCAGAGTTTACTTTTTACCTTTAATTCAGTTTTCAGACAATAGTAAACATTCTTGATAGATTTAAGTACGATTGTTTTTAGGGTGGAATTAGATTGGACAGTGGTTTGGTAAAAACTCCTTCCTTTATACATATGTATTAGCAAAAACACTTAACATCACTAGTGCGGTGGCACATACCTATAATCCCAGCAGCTTTAGAAGCTGAGGCAGGAGGATCACAGGCCAGCCTTAGCAACTTAGAGAAGCCCTAAGCAACTCAGCCAGACCCTGTCTCTAAATAAAAAATTAAAAAGGGCTGGGGATGTGGCTCAGTGGTTGAGTGCCTCCGAGTTCTATTCCTAGTTAACCCCCCAAAACCCCCGCCAAAAAACACACAACATGATCACAGAAAACTGCCAATGTTAATAAAATTTGCTCTTAAGATATTTATTTTTTTCTTACAGATATGCCAAGAATTTAACAGTACATGGGCATGGGAGATGGAGAAGAAAGGATATCTTGAAATGAGTGTTGAATGTAAACTAGCACTCTTAAAGGTAATAAATGTATTATTTGTTACAATTATTTTTATTTAATTTAAAATTTGACTTTGACTCCCAGTTAAATTAAAAAAAACATAAAAAAGACATTGTTGAACAAAAGATTAAAAAAAATTTTTTTTAGTTGTTCATAGACCTTTTTTTAAAAAAAATTTATTTAAATGTGGTATTGAGAATTGAACACAGTGCCGCACACATGCCAGGCAAGTGCGCTACCACTGAGCCCCAGCCCCGAACAATAAATTTTTTGCTTCTTTATTTTTCTGTGACAAAACAGTCTGTTCTCTGAATTGCTGTTTTTAAAAATTGTCTTCAAAACATGTTTAATTTATTTCTGCTTGCAAGGAAAGTAATAGAATGAATAAGCAATTACCTTAAATTAAGTTTTTCACTGTTTTCAGCTTTCACATTCATTGCCAAATGTTGTAAACTGTGGATACTCTTTTACTGATTTACCAACATAGTAATGTGATATTGTTTTCCAGATGACTAAGGGCATATCACTGCGTGTTTAATAAAACCCTCACATATTCTAGAAGTACTCGTTTAAAATGAGTCATCTCAATGTAGGCTTATTTTCAGGGTTTTCTTTTTTCCCCCCTGCCCACTTCTTAATTAGGCAGGAGGATATTATGTCAGCATAATATGGGATGAATAATATTCTCTGTGAAAATATAAATGATGTCTTCATTAATTCTAAAATTTGCAGTGTTTGATAACTAGGCTCTATGTTCAAAGGACCTCAAGATTTTATGATGATTTCTAATCTACAATGTCAGCATACATACATTTTTTTCAGAGATAGACTAAAGCTATGGAGTAGCTATTATTTTGTTGTTATATATTAATGGCCTTTACAACCTACATGAAAATCTATAAGATGCATATAATGTTTCTGAGAAAACCAAATATATAGTAAACTCATATTTCAAAGTGAATTATCATGCAAGCTCATCTATCCCCAGTTTAGTTTGTGGTCCCAAACGAGTATATAAAGTTTCTCATTGGAGTGTTAGAATAGAGCCTAGAACTTCTGTTCATAATTTTTTAAAATTTCAGCTTCTGAAATAACTTTTTGTGCATTCCTAAAATGTATATAATTGTTGATAAAGAGGCAGGTGTATGATAAATATGAATACATGAATGTAATGTCTATAATACACATATAATTATTGAGCTTGTGTTATAAATTTTTTTTGATGATAAGAATTCTTGATCACATAATGTTTAGAGAGCACTTGCCTAGTATTCTGGATCTTTGGGTTGAATCCCCAACATTGCAAAAGGAAACAACACATACACATACACACACGCACACACACACACACATACACACGGTAAAAAAAGTATATAGGCTTTTGGGCTAGTTGGCACAAGCAAAGGCAAAGAGGAATTTCATTTATTCCTGCCTAAGTAGAGAAACTCATAGAAGAAATCTGACTTTGATACATAATCCTATACAAAATATACAACAAAAAGTTTTACTTCTATTTTAGAAATGAGGATTTTTTTCTTTTTTTATTAAGATAGTTCTCCAGAAACATCTATCAATGCTTTCATTACCTTCTTTATTACCTTCCCTAAACACTTGCTATATCTCAAGTTTCAAAAATAGTCCTTTGGGGGGGGGTTTGTGGCTAAGCGGTTGAGCGCTAGCCTAGCTCGTGTGAGGCACTGGGTTGGAGTGCCTCAGCACCACATAAAATAAATAAATAAAATAAAGTTACTATGTCCAACTACAACAAAATTTAAAAAAAAAGTCCTTTCAAGAATAATGTTTGTTTAAAAGCTATAGGAGAGAAACAATAACTGGAATTTTATACCATGACTCCTGAATAACCAGTGGGTCTAAAAAGAAATCAAAAGGAACTTAGGAAATACCTCAATACCAATGAAAATTAAAATAATTTGCCAAAATGTATGAGATCCAGCTAAAACGGTACTAAAAAGGAATTTCATAGTGATAACATGTACATTAAAAACGAAGATCTCAAAGAGCTAATTTATATGTCAAGGAAATAGCAAAAGAATACACTATGCCCAAAGTAAGCGGAAGGATGGAAATAACAAAGATTAGAACAGAAATAAATGAAATAAAAAAAGAAAGAATCTCAGTGAAATAAGATTTATCTTTTTAGAAAAGATATACTTGACAAACTTATACCTAGAGTAAGAAAAGATAAATAAGAATTAAATGAGTTATTATAATTAATATCACAAAAAAAGGATCGTAAGAGACTTAGGAAGAATATATGCTAACAATATAACCTAGAAGAAATGGTTAAATTTCTAGAAACATGCAAGATGGCAACACTGATATATACCAATAAAACAAACAAACAAAAAAACAACAAAACTTTTTATGATAAACCTGGAGCCCGTATCTTAATTAACAGTGAAAACGGAAATTTTTTTTTCTCTTAAGATCTAGTATAAGACAAGGATGCCTATTCTAGTTATTTCTGTTCAACAGATTAGTAGGAAAACTAGCCAAGACAGTTGGTCAAGAACAAAGAAAGGAAAGGATTCAGATTGAACTGGAAGGAGTAAAATTGTTACTCCTTTTAGATGCCAATTCTATCTAGAAAGCCCAAAAGAACTCTCTGAAAAGTTATTAGAACTAATAAATGAATTTAGTAAAGTTATGTTCTAAAACTTTTAATACAAAAATCAGTACTGTTTCTATATGCTAATAACAAATTACCCTCCCCCCACAATCAGGAAAACAATCCCATTTACAATAACATTAATAAATTTAAAATAGGAATAAATTTTGACCAGTGAAGTGAAGTCTCTATACTGAAAATTTTAAAACATTGAAGAAAGAAATAGAGACACAAATATATGGGAAGACATCCATGTTCACAGGTCAGACGAATTCATATTGTTAAAATATACACATTATCCAAAGTAATCTATAAATTCAGTGCAATCATAGAAAATGATGAGGTTTGACAAAGACGTAAAGAAAAGGGAAAAGGCCCTTGTACATTGTTGTGAGAATGTAAATTAGTATAGACCTTAGGGAAAACAGTATGGAGTTTTCTCAAAAAATTAAAACCAACTGCCAAATGATTTAGCAGTCCCTCTACTGGGTTCATATTTAGTGGAGATAAAATCAGTTTTTTTAAAAAATATTTTTTTAATTGTTCGTGGACCTTTATTTGCATATTTATATGTGGTGCTGGGAATTTAACGCAGTGCCTCACAAGTGCTCTACCACTTAGCTACAACTCCAGCCTCAAAAAATCAGTTTTTGAAACACATATGTGTACTCCTGTGTTATTGTAATATGGAATGAATCCAGGTGTCTATTTATATATGAAATGGATAGATAAAATATGTGAATATAAGTGTACACATACACATATATATATAAAATGGAAAATTCTTCAGGCTTAAAGGAAATACTGTCATTTGTGACAATATGAATGATCCTGGGACATATTGTGTTAATGAAATAAGCCAGGCACAGAAAGAAATACCCCATGTTCTTACTTAAACGTGGAATATAAAGACTCGAACCCACAGCAACAGAGAGTAGAATGGTGGTTATGTGGCTTGTAGTTATTGGGCAGATAGGAGAGAAATTGGTCAACCTTAAAAAAAATTCAGTTAGAAGAAAGAATTTAAAGAAATCTATTGTACAAGATAGTCTTATTAAGAAAAATATATTACATACTTAAAAATTGCTAATTGATTTTAAGTGTTCTTACCACAAGAAATAAGTATGTGAAGTAATAAACGTTAAGTTGCTTGATTTAGCTATTCTTCATGGTTTACATACATTAAAACATCATATTACACACAGTGAATATATGTAATTTTTATTTGCCTAATTAGTTAATAACTTAAACAATGATTGACAGCAGTGAAAAAAAAATTTATACCTGTGGGACAACTTGGGAGTTTTTATTGCAAATAGATTTTTGCTTTAGAAATATAATTTGGTTTATGTCAGTGGTTATATGTATGTATGAATGAATGTATGTATGTATGTATGTATTTATTTATTTATTGGTACTAGGGATATAATCTATGGCACTTTACATCAGTGGTTGTTTTATACCTATACAATGGTGTAGAATTAAAACGTAAGTTTAAAACTTAATCTCTTTAATTCTTTTAAACACATTTGGGAAGAGGATAGTGAAAAATGGATAAACTGTGTGTTCTGTCTGCTTTGCTTACATCAATTATGTGGTTATATCATATTTCTTGTGATGGAGAAATATTATTATTATTTAGAAACATTTTAAGACATTTTTGTTTTTTCAGTATCTCTGTGAGTGTCAGTTTGATGACAATCTTAAATTCAAGAATATTATTAATGAGGAAGATGCTGATACTATGCGTCTCCAGCCAATTGGGCGAGACAAAGATGGCCTTATGTACTGGTACCAGTTGGATCAAGATCATAATGTCAGAATGTACATAGAAGAACAAGATGATCAAGATGGCTCTTCATGGAAATGCATTGTCAGGTATTCTTTATTGGAATCTCTACATTTATTTACATGATTCTTACTTTCATCTCCTCTCTATGTGATCTTTGAGGCAAGGGTAGACCTTTTAATGGGATTGTTGAATTTCCAGGGCCTAACCTAGAGCCCAAAACTGTATCTTTATTAGGTACTTAATTAGTTATTTGTCAAATAAATTTAAGTATTTGGCAGTTCAATCCAAATCAGGACATAAGTCTGTACTTCAAAAAGCCATAATCTGAATAATAATATTGTGTAATAGTATTTGTAAAAGTATATATTCTTAGATAAAAACACCAGAAAAGCATTTTTTTTCTTGATTTATCTATCATATTCTATTAGGCATTGCTTATTTATTTCTGTTTGAAGTTGCCCAACATATTTTATCACCGTATGTTTTCTTTTTTTAATGCTTTTTTTTAAAGAGAGAGAATTTTTTTAATATTTACTTTTTAGTTTTCGGTAGACATAACATCTTTATTTTATTTTTATGTGGTGCTGAGGATTGAACCCATCGCCCCGTGCATGCCAGGCGAGCGTGTTACCGCCTGAGCCACATCGCCAGCCCCACCATATGTTTTCTAATTTGCTGTGTACAAATTTATTTATTGGTTTCTAAAGAACATTATGATTTCTTGTCCTAGTCCTTTTAAAATGTTTTGATATTTCATTTTTTTGACAAAGATATTTAAACAGATATAGTATACAATCTTGAATTATAACTTTTTTAAAAATCGTAAGATACAGCAAAGGGAAAAGAGGGAATGGGAGGGGGCATGGGGTTAGAAAAGATGGTGGAATGAGGTGGACATCGTTACCCTAAGTATATGTATGAAAACACAAATGGTGTGACTTATTTGTGTACAACCAGAGATATGAAAAATTGTATTCTACATATGTAATATTAATTGTAATGCATTCTTCCATCATATATAACAAATTAGAATTTAAAAACAAGATGAAAAAAGTCATAAGTGAAACTGGGATATTGAGAATATTTATGTCTAATTTTTTATCTTTTAACTTTTTTAGAAATATTTCATTTATGGCCATAGTATATTTTAATTTTGAAAACATCGTGGGGCTGGGGATGTGGCTCAAGCGGTAGCATGCTTGCCTGGCATGCGTGGGGCGCTGGGTTCAATCCTCAGCACCACATAAAAATAAAATAAAGATGTTGTGTCCACCAAAAACTGAAAAATAAATATTAAAAATAAATAGAAAACATCATGGATCCTATAAAGTAGGGAGAACTCATGAATATCTAACTGCTGGCTTATGCAAAGCTCCTTTTGACATTGGCGTATATCGGTTTTTGCTCCTTTTTACTTTTAGCATTTTTTTAGTGATTACTTCTTAATTTATAATATTTGGATAGGTCAGAAAATCTCAACTTTTATTCTCTAAGAATAAATGTGAAAGGATTGAATTCTTTGGGTATTGTTTTATATGCACATATAACTACATGATTCTCTTTGTAGTTCTTTCTTTTTTCTTTTAATATTTTTAGTTGTAGATGGACACAATTTATATGTGGAGCTGAGGATCAAACCCAGTGCTTCACATGTGCTAGGCAAGTGCTCTACCATTGAGCTACAACCTTAGCTCTGGAGTTCTGTTCTTGAGATTTTACCAGCATGTCGGTGATTCCTCATATCAACCTATACTTATTTTAAAATATTCTGTCCTAGTCTGTTGACCAAGAAAATAGCGCAGAGAAAAATAATTATAATTATAATTATAATTACTGTTGTTGAGTCATACATGTTTAAAACAACTAATGTTTTAAGTAGATTATACCCTAATGCATGATGTAAAATTTTGAGTTAACATTTAATCTGGGTTTCTCCATTTACTATCTGTAGGCACTTCATTTCTCTCAGAGCTGCTTTCCTGTTCTTTAAAACAAAGATGTTAATACTTCCCTAAAAAGTTGTTGTGAGGAATTTATGAAAAATGATGCTAATACCATAAAAGCACTCTGTAAATATTTGCTTTTTTCTTTGTAGCTTTTAAAAGTATTGGCTATTCTTTTTCTTCTTTTTTTCTTTTTTTATTTTTTTTTATTGGTTGTTCACAACATTACAAAGCTCTTGACATATCATATTTCATACATTAGATTGAAGTGGGTTATGAACTCCCAATTTTTACCCCAAATGCAGATTGTAGAATCACATTGGTTACACATCCACATTTTTACATAATGCCCTATTAGTAACTGTTGTATTCTGCTACCTTTCCTATCCCCTACTATCCCCATTTTGTATAGCAATGAGGGTCTCCCTTCATTTCCATGCAATTTCCCTTATCTCTCCCTTTCCCTCCCTTCTCATGTCTCTGTTTAAAGTTAATCTTTTTTTTCCCTGCTCTTCCTCCCTACTCTGTTCATAGTTGCTCTCATTATATCAAAGAAGACATTTGGTATTTGTTTTTTAGGGATTGGCTAGCTTCACTAAGCATAATCTGCTCTAGTGCCATCCATTTCCCTGCAAATTCCATGATTTTGTCATTTTTTAGTGCTGCATAATATTCCATAGTGTATAAATGCCACATTTTTTTTATCTATTCATCTATTGAAGGGCATCTTGGTTGGTTCCACAGTCTAGCTATTGTGAATTGTGCTGCTATGAACATCGATGTGGCAGTATCCCTGTAGCATGCACTTTTAAGGTCTTCAGGGAATAGTCCAAGAAGGGCAATAGCAGGGTCAAATGGTGGTTCCATTCCCAGCTTTCCCAGGAATCTCCAAACTGCTTTTCAAATTGGCCGTACCAATTTGCAGTCCCACCAGCAATGCACAAGTGTACCCTTTTCTCCACATCCTCGCCAGCACTTGTTGTTGTTTGCTATTCTTTTTCTTTCAAAAAAAAAAGGACTGGGGTTGTGGCTCAGTGGCAGAATGCTTGCCTCGCAGATATGAGGTACTGGGTTGAATCCTCAATACCACATCAAAATTGAATATACAAAATAAAGATATTGTGTCCATGTATAACTAAAAAATATTTAAAAAATACTTTTTTTGTAGTTGCATTTTTTTTTGGTAGTTTGTTTATTTTTATGTGGTGCTTAGGATTGAACTCAATGCCTTAAAAGTGCTAGGCAAGCCTTCTGTCACTGAGCTACAGGCCATCCCTCAGCATTGGCTTTTCTAACCCCAAAGATTCAAAGTTAGTTTCTTCATTGAAGAAAGGTACAGATCCTTCTTTTACAAACTCTTCTCACTCTTGACTATTCCCCAGACTTTATTCTCTATGCTTCTGCTTCCTTTTTCTGTGTTTAAATTTCATTTAAGTGGTGTGTGTGTGTGTGTGTGTGTGTGTGTGTGTTTGTTTGTATGTGTATTGAACCAAGGGACACTCTTATCACTGAGCTACATCCCAGACCTTAAAAAAGTTTCAAAACATGTTTTTATTAAGTTGCCAGTGTTGGTAACTTGAAATCCACCTGCCTCGTCTTTATCCAACTGGGATTATAGTCACGTGCCACCATGCCTGGCCACTTCTGCATTTTTATTTGTTTTTAAATCCTCTTTCTATGTGTAAATATGTATATGGTAATCATAAAATGGTGTATGTATGTGGGAAGTGTTCAGAAGCATATGTTCACACAGAAGTTCTGAACACAGTTTTCTTATGTTCAGAACCACAGAAGAACCAGTTCTTCAGTGAATTGTTGGCAGATTAGTTTTAGCCGTTTTGAAGATCTTTATAAATAAGTTATCTGTAACTGCACATTTTCCTGGGAACTTTGCCCAAATAATGTAGAACTATTTAGAACTATTCAGAAACCATTGGGGTTGTTGATTCTGATTTTGGATAATAAAATCCGGTTTTTGAACACTTGATTGACTCACTGATATTCTTTTTTTTTTCCTTCACTAAATTTATAGATTTTTATTACATACCAACTTGTATAATAGGCCACGAGCTAATAAGCAGCTTGGGATTTAGTAGTAAACAGTACAGCTCTGACATTTCTAGCTGGGTTTTAGGTACCTGTGAAATGTCTTATATTGCAAAGAATAGCTTTTAAGTATAAATTGTGTAAGTATTTTCTGGAGAAGAACAATAGTTTTCTTCAGATTCGAAGATATCATATATAAATGAGCTGTTTTGTAGCACGGCATTTCAGATAGCTTTAACTTACCAACACAGTGAACCTACTATTAACATGTCTTCTCCATATAAGTCCATTCTGTGCAGGTTAAATGTGAAAAGCATAATGTTCTTTTTGCTTCCTTACAAACTCATTAGGGGGCTGTGGGTCTAGCTCAGAGATAGAGTGCTTGCCTAGCATGCTTGAGGCCCTGGATTTGATTCTCCATCAACACCAGTGGGAGGCAGGGGGAAGATACCACTTGTCATGAATATGTATTTTGTACCAAAAATAATGTGAAGTATCATCCCACTTGCCTCAGGTAAGATCACACCTGGAATATAGTATTTATTAATGTAGTGAAGGAGCAAGTCCCTTATGGGGAAAAAAAAAAGAATGAAATGAAAATGCTTAATATAGTAGAAACTTAAGGATATATAACTCTCTTCACATATTTAAAGAATTCATTTGTGGAATACTTGCTCACAGGCTGAGCCATGATCAGTGGATATATATTAGGGGGATGTAGAACTGTGCTTGATAAGAGCAAAACACTTACTTGCATTGCAGAGACGTAATTGTCTTAAGACTGATAAATGCTGTCAAGCATTCTCTAAAACTGGAGGTATATATGAAGTGGGGTTTTAAAGAGGGATTAATCTTTTTTAACAAGAAATTTAGAAAGAAACACAAGTGATAGGAAAGAGTAAATAAAGCAAGTGGAATTATGACTTTTTCATTTAATCAGGTATATTTAGATATTTTTCTTAAATTGTGAATTGTATTTTTTACTAGCAAAATGAAAATCCTGCTTCTTTTCCTTAAAGGAATTTCTTTAAAATAATACTGTTAACTTTCTTAGAGATCATTTGTTGTTAGAAGTCTGTTTCTGATTAGTTTTTAAT